CGATAGCGTCACGGGGCTTACGTAAAGCTGCTGCCCGTGACACCACGGCATGCAGGGATGTATCTCACCACGTGTCGATTGCGGGTTTGCAACCAGTGCGTCGACATATCCAGCTTTTTTTAAAATAATAAAAATACAAATTTTAATGAGTCGAGTGCCAGCCACCAATCGGCCGTAGGTTACAAACCCAAGAGCGGCTGAGCCACCTGCGACATGGAGGTGAATTATGCAAATGTGTTTGAGCTCGCTAGTTACGTTAAGTTTTGTACTAAGGCCCCCTAATTTTATACAAACGTGTTAAGCATATGTGGCTGAGGTAGAAAAAATTGCAACAAGTTTGCCCAAGTTTTCTCTAAAAAGTGTAGTTATTATTAAGTAACCTTTTTATCGCAAAACTTATTTATATTTTTATTACTGTAGTTCTTGGTTTACAAATCAAACTTCTGGAGTGAATCACAAGTAAGATAAAAGAAAATATATGAACTTAAGAGGAGATATATCATATATAGCTTGACATCCAACTAATGAAAGTACAATATGTAGGAGTGAACGCGTTCTGATTTGATTGATTCTAAAGGGAACCAAATATAGTAACAATGGAAATTTTAAAAAATAAGAACCATTGGTTTCATATCCAACTATAGTACCGAACCAACTGGTTCTAATTCGGTTTGATCCGATTCTTTATACTGAAAAAATTGTAAAGATAAAGTATGAAATTACTTATTGATTGAAAATAGACAAAAATGAGTATAAAGCAACTTGTCATTCTTGTAATCTAACGATACAAGAAATCAATTAAACATGGCAACAAACAAAAATCCACTCTAAACCTTAAAATCAACTCATAAAGACGAAAAAAGGATAAATTATTAAACACATCATAAATGGCAAAATATTGATCGAAAATTAATTCTAAAGAAAAATCATATAACAACATATATTAAAGTATATGTAGTATTTATAACCTAATTATCTTTAGTAAAGCTCAAAGATCTTAATTTTTTATGGCCGGTCACTTTGATAACAACGAGAAATTTGATTCTTATGAAATATTGAACTAAAAATATATTTTTTTCTATTGGGTTGCATTAAAAATTATGAATTTGTTAAGTATTTATATAATTATTTAAACTTCAATTTTAATTAGCCATTATGTTTTGTTGAAAAGGAAAGAAGAAGCGTATAAAAGATAGAATTTTGACGTGAGATAATTTTGTGATCTAGTATTCAAAGATTTGGTACATTTTGGTGCAATCAAAAAGAGAAATTCGAGAAGACCAAATTCACTACTGGTTCTCATGACAATACCAAGAACTGGACTGAAATCGATCAATTCTTGATGCATAGTCCCAAAATCGACCCATTTAGTAGGAAAATCATAGCCGAACCGACCATTTCTATTCGGTTTTGATCCGATTCCGAGAAAAAGTGCCCACCCTAACGATCTGAAAAACTTTACCCATCTAAAAGTCTGAATCAAAAGAGTAAAATCGTTTTAGCTCCTGTTTGAGTCCCATTATTTTAAATTAAATTTTTCTTAAATTCATTTTCAACTATACATTCTTTCAATAAATAATTTTGCATGTAAATTTAGATCTTTTCCCTACTTTTAACCATACATTCTTTAAAAAAAAAAAAAAAAAAAATTCTTTTTTACAAAATTTATTCTCAAAAAATAAGGGAGATGGACTTAATGTACACAACTATACACCCAATCAGTGTTTACCAATTACTCAAGTTTTTAGATCCAATTCATTATTAAAATGATCATATGTACATAACCAAAAGCATAATCGGCGTAGCTAAGTCCTAAGAAGTTGGAATAAAGGTATTACCCCCATCCCTAAGTTCAAACACGGTTCTAGCGAGGGTCCAGTCTTGAGAATTATAGCGAAAGCCAAGAGGTTTGTTACCTGTTACCGAGTTGGTGAAAAATATTAAGATTTGAGTTCCATCTTATAAGGTTAATCTTATTAAAAGGAATAACTCAAAATCTTATAAATTGATCTTTGTTTTCATCTTTATTCCATGACATACCTCACAACATAATGACTCGTTTGAGCATATTAATTTTGAAATTCACGTGCTCATTTTTTAGTCTTAATCGAATTGAATTACTCATTGAAACTTAATGAGCTCTAATACCATATTAAAACTTAGGGCGTAAATCTTAAAAGATCAATCTTATTAAGAGGAGTGGTTCAAACCCTTATAAATTAATCTGTACTTTTATTTTTATTCGATGTTGAATTTTATTACTTAACAAAACATATTTAGCCCTTGTTTGGTAGAAATTAAAATCAGATTTTTAGCATATTTGATAAAAGTTGATAGAATGTGTGGTTGAAAAGTTGTGGATCCTATGAAATATATGATTAAAATTAATTATTAATTTTGACTTAAATTTTAATCAAGTTTTTTAGTGGTATCAAACATAAGCTTATCATCCATGGAACCTAAAACTTATAAGCACATAAAAAAATTAAGACCAAACATGCACTACAGTGATATATTGTCCTTTTTATCCATCAGTTCTATCTAGTGTTCTAAAAAGCGTAAAGCGTGGCTAAGTATAGAGGCGAATCTTCAAACTTTACGAGCTTAAGCGAGCCAGGTGAGGCTTGGACGTAAAAAATGTTTTCTTATTTTTAATATTATTTTAAATCTTTAATCATTTTAAAAATTATTTAATAATTAAAATAATACATATAAAACATCTAAAATTATATATACATAGCCTCAAAGGAGATGCTTGATCATGCAATAAGACATTTTTAAAAAATATCCTTTCCACAATAAGCACTCAAATTATTGTATGTGATAATGTGAAGCATAATAGTAGATTTGGAATCCGAAAGTATGTTTCCTACGCTCAAAGCACCCGAAACAAAAAATAATATTTAAAATTGATTGGATTTGGAGTACGTGTCACCAGTTAAAACCACCACATAGTAACTTATTTTATTATATTAGAATAAAAGTATGATGGATGATAAAAATAACTAAATTCAAATAAAAGACTATTATAAAAAGGGAAAAAAAAAAAAAAAACTAAAGCGCGCTTAAGTAAGACAACATAGAGGAATTAAAAAATTTAACCGTTTAGAATGGGAAAAAAAAAACCTAGACGAGAAGCTAGATATTTTGCTTGAGTTTCGAGCTTAGGTGGTGCTTAGGCGCCGTTTAGACGAGCTTTTTAGAACACTAATTCTATTTTGCTAATTCTAATGTACAACTGAAGGAGTGGAAAACTATGCCATTTCATCGTAGTGCTTCCGTCTCATTGTTTAACTTAAACTTGAAGATTGTCATTTGTATAGATGTTAAAATAGCCGTCCGGCCAGCAAACCGGCGAAGAAAAAAATAAACTTTCATTCATTGAACAAATCTCATGATTACTTATTTTCTTTGCACAGTTCTTGATATAGCTGTGGACTGATATACAATTCATTCCACGAAGTGAGTTTTGACTTCTTAGTGCAGCCATGGTAGCATTCCGGTTGCTTTTCTTCTCTCTCGTCCTCTTCACTTGGATTAATGCAATCTCATCTGTGACGAACCCAAAAGATGGTAAACTTTAGCTAACATTTCTAAGTGTTTGTGTTTTTGATCTTATGAGAGTTGGTGGGCACCAAGTGGTTCAGTTTATGGTTCTTGAGAACTAGAATCGAATCGACGTATTTCTGGTCTTGTCCGGGGGTTGCAGATAAAAATGTCCACCCCTACTGCGAGTTGGGCATGTTGAGATGTCAAAGTGGTATTGACCTCAAGACTCCTATATGGGAGGACATGGTCATGTCCACCTTTGTAAAATTTATGGGAACTGTTGATAGTTATTTGATCATATCATTCTATATTGTGTACACGATTAGAGGGATTTGATCGATAGAGTTTCTGTGTGATCTCGTTAGTATTAATGAAAATGAAACTGCATACAGCTGCTGTACTCCGATCATTAAAAGATCAATGGGGAAACACGCCCTCGAGTTGGAATAATTCGGCTGATCCTTGTGAAGCTTGGAATGGAATTACCTGCAACAACAACGCGAGCGTCATTAAATTGTGAGTATCTTAGTCTCGTACACCTGGGGTCGGGGAAAAAGTTTTCTTGATGCTTATTTCGATTCTACAGAGAATTATCCATACTGGGACTAACAGGAACATTGATGGGTGACATCGCGGGGCTCACCGAACTAATTACTCTGTGAGTAACCTTTCAGTCACATACTGGAACTAAAGATTCTTCGTTAGGCTTGGCATATTAAGTCAGTCTTGATATCGAGTCTAAATGTTTATAATTAGCCTAAGATCTTGAGCTACCGTTTTCAGGGACTTGTCAATCAACCCTGGCCTCACTGGTCCACTTTCTCCTCTGCTAGGAGATCTGGGAAAATTGAGCACATTGTAAGATCTCTTGACTCGTTATTACTAGAAGGATACAACTCCTGACATCGAGTTTTTGTGTAGAAATTTAGCAGGGTGTAGCTTTGCTGGAAATATACCAAGTGAATTGGGAAATCTTGCCAAGCTATCTTATCTGTAAGAATGGTCATTTTCGCGATGAAATCTAATGGAGTTATTCTTTTCATTATCTTACCATATGACGACTTTCCTTTGCAGAGTACTTAACTCCAATAACTTTACCGGTGAGATACCATCATCTCTTGGTAAACTTTCCAACCTGTACTGGCTCGACCTCGCAGGAAACCAGTTGATAGGGTCTCTCCCTGTATCAACAGGGATAGCTCCAGGGCTTGACAGCCTTAAAAAAGCCAAACACTTGTGAGTGTAATTTTATTCTGTAAACCGTTTTGCTTCTCCTTTAGATGGTTTAATTCGTTTATGAATGCCTTTGCAGCCATTTCAACAAAAACCAGCTTTCAGGCGATATTCCAGCAAAACTTTTTAGCTCAGACATGCAGCTAATACACCTGTAAGTCAAGGCTAACGTCGGCTGCTTGTTCTAATCTTGAAAATCTCATTTGATTATTCTCTCCGGTGGAAAAATGGCAGACTGCTCGACCACAATCAATTGGAAGGGAGCATTCCTTCTACAATAGGACTGGTTCAGACACTTGAGGTTCTGTAAGTAAACCCCTGATATAACTTTCATTACTTTCCTCTTTTCCGATGAATCTTTTGAACGTTGTGTTGACTAACCCGGTTTACCTGTCCAGCCGACTGGATCAAAACATCCTGACTGGAAGTGTTCCATCAAGCCTCAACCAACTCACGAATGTCAATGAATTGTGTGTACACCTTTTAATCCAATGAAAACTCGAATACTGAGACCAGTGAATATTCACTAACATTTCGTTTGTATAATTCAGGAATTTGGCTCACAATATGTTGACAGGTAAATTACCAAATTTAACAGGAATGAACTCCCTCAGCTATGTGTAAGAAGAACCCTTTCCACTAGTCCAAAAAATAAGCATTTCCTGTTCTAGAATATGTTTTAATTTTATCTTTCGGCAGGGACTTGAGCAACAACTCTTTCCAAAAAACAGAAGCTCCAGGGTGGTTTTGGACTATAGAGTCGCTAACTACACTGTAAGTATCGAGTTACTTATTGACAAAAAATTGTAAAACTATATTCAAACTAAGGACTCATCTTACCTTAGAAATCAAGAAACAGAAAAAATCTCATGTTCGAAATCCGATACAATGTTCAGGATAATAGAATATGGACCACTACAGGGATCGCTGCCTCCTCAACTTTTCAGCTTACCTCAGATTCAGCAAGTGTAAGTCGAACAATAATGTTAACCCGATGATCTTGGTACGTATATATTAACGCAATATTGTAAACTGTTGACAGGAAACTGAGGAATAATGCCTTTAGTGACAAATTAGATATGAGCGGCAACATTAGCCAGCAACTTCGACTGACTGATTTGCAGGACAACAATATACTATCAGTAACGCTTGGTTTTGAAAACAATAGTACATTACTGTAAGACATTTCATGATTTATGTATACTCGAAAGGATAACAATGTTTGTTTTGCCCTAATCATCAGACATTTTTTCTGCGGTTTCAGGTTAACAGGTAACCCTGTATGCGATGCTGCTCCAAAAAATACGGTTTACTGTCAGCCTCAATAATTGACAGCATTGGATTGATTCTGGAAAATTGGCTGTTGCATTGGTTGGTGTTGATGGCCGGATTTGTTTTGAAATTGTAATTCTTAAATACTTATTTGTAAAATAAAAAACGATGTGACCATACAAAAGAAATTTTGTATTCATTCAATGGGACGCATTCATTCTATGGCCCGTTTCTTTAAAGAACAAGTCTCCACAATCAGTTAATTCGAAAAATTTTCTCGACAAGCAACTACTTTCAAAAGATGGTAATATGATGATACCTTCTGTATACAAGCCTTCGTTCCAGTGCCATAAAAGATTGTTCTGAGTCTCCGGTGAAACTGTATTCTGTGCTATCCAACACTTCGCTCAAGACGACATGGTAATCAAGTGTCGTTCGGTTTGTAATTCACTTGGATTAGTTTGCTGTCACTCAATGCTTCCTCTGCAAAGATATATAAATTCAGTATTTTCTTCCAGACACGTACACATGGATCAAAAAATTGAAGAGATCAAGAAAGAAAGACAACGAGCTCGATTTCTTAACTCAATGGTACTCGTTACCGCACAGATAAAGAGATAGCTAATCACCCTTCATGTTGTGTGTTTAACACAGGGAATTACATCATTAATAATTAACAAATTAACTTCAATTTTTCAACCCCTAAAATTTTTATCCAGCATGCATACCGACTCAAAAAACACTGGAAACCTCTCTTTACATGAACTGAACATGAACACCCCAATTTTTAGATCCATATGACATGGAAAGCTTAGATCAATCATGGAAATCCCTGCTGCCAATTCTCAAGAACCTAAATTGATAATTAAAGGTTTGATAATTTAGTCAAACTTAGCTATCGAATACATAAGTAGGGATATTGCTGGTCATTCAAGAAAGTACGAAGGAGGTCCTACACCAAGTTATCGCACAGGAGCAATGACTCAATGCAAGAGAGATTCATAAATTCTAGGGTTCCGGGGTTGCTATTTTCAGACAGCTGCTTATACTATAACTAGAAGATTAAGTATTGCTTGGGAGAGATTATTCATAGTGAGAAATAATTTATTTGGAGAATATTGGTTAATAAGTAGGAAAAGGTACAAGTTCACATGCAAAGTAATTTTACTGGAAGAATGTGAAGTTGACAATGAGTTTGAGGAAAAAATAATTTTCAAATAAGTTGTGTCAAATAAACGCTAAACTTTGGTGTGGATTAGATGTGTTGACAATCATGCCGAGAACCAAGTGATCCCAGTGATATGTTGTTACTTACGACGTCCCCTCGTACAATTTGTTTATGTCCCTAGATACTATTGTTGAAGTTCAAGAAATTCAATTTGGGTAAGTGATGGGCCCCAATATAGGAAGCACAGCACGCATTATAGAGACTAGAGGGTTATTTTAAATCAGTATATTATTTTGTATTTGGGGTATTATGGGGATTTAGTAGAATAAATTGTATAGAAGTTTATCTATAAATAGAGTGGTAAGGTGTTCGTTTCACTTGAGCAGAAAGTAGGGTCTCAATAGGGAGAGAGCCTCTTGAATGCTTTCAGTTTTCCATTTTCTTAACATCTGGTATAAGAACATCGATTCTAGGGCAAATAGAAACATATTTCTGCAAATATTTGGAGAAGATGGGGTAACTAAAAAAGAAATTTGATTGTGTGATGCAAAAATTCAGCAAAGAAGATGATTTCGCATTAGACTCGCAACGCCAATTCAAAATATTGATATCCTACTAGGAAAATCCGAGTTGCTGGTTTTCTAGGGGGAGAGGATTTTCTAATTAAGTCGGTTGTTGGAGACAGAAAAAGTGGAAGCTTCCATTGTGTACCATGATGGAGAGGCATGGCTTAATTCAAGTGGATAGATTGTAACACCCCTAAAATTTTAGAATAAAAATTTCTTTGTTTTATATGTTATATTTTTATATTTTAAAAATTTGAGGACTAAAATTATAAGTTTTAAATTCTTATTTTTCGGGCCAAATAATTAGATTTTAAATAAACAAGATTTTGTATATTATACTTCGTTGGATAGCTCGTAATTAATTATGAAATTTAGGCTCGAGAAAAAGTTGATTCGGATAAGTTTGACATGAGATATTTTAATTACAAGAATATATGTTTTCTATAATTATTTAAGTTGGTTAAATGTGGAATATAATGCATTGGGGCAGCCACCTAGCCATGTCACGTGTGGAAAATTTGTTAATTATTATTCCATTTTATTTTGATAAGTTTAATTACAGCTATGACTTTTTCACTTAGACCAATGCGTAGCCAGTTTCATGTGACATGTGATTTCACTATTCTTTTTGCACTAGAATTTCACCACTCATATATGTATATTAATTGTTCAAGCCACGTGTAAATGCATGTTGACCATATTTTTAAGAATTTAATGTTAATCCAAATTTAAACTAGTTTTTATCCGAATTATTTCTGAACCAATAGATTTATTCACGTGATTATATTTAAAGATATTGGTTTATCAAGAAATTTCATTTAATTGATATTTTATTTAAAGTTGAATCCTAGCTTTAGCCATAATTTGTCCACGTGTAGTATGGTATATATGGAAATTTGTTTGTGAGAAGACTTTTATTTGGTTGGCGGCCTTCACGTGTGGTGTAGTGTTTTTGGTAATCCGTTTTTTATTTTTTTTTAAGTGATAAGTGTAAATCATAATTGATATAGTACAAATTGCATTTAATGCTATCCAAAAATATACTTTTGTCTATACCTTATTTAAAAGTGAGTTAAAGAAATTCCCTAGTTTGGCAGCCTCTCGCGTGGGTGGGTGAATAGATACAAGTAAACTTTTGTATTGTTTAGCAATTCAAAATGTATCTTATCTTGATGGATCAAACGAGCTTTTGATAATTAAAAAAAAATGTACTTAAAATTTACAGCTACTTTATATGAAAGCTGCTGTGTAAAATTCTATAGTTCCACAAAATTATGATATCCTCTAAAATCGATCTTGTCCCAGTCTTCAAACGGATAGAGCTCAAAATCCATCCCTCACACGAAATAAGCCATGTCTCTCCATTGAGGTTTCATAGTGTTTATAAGATGATAAATTGAGATAGTTGTCCCCTCATCATATCCGAACGATCTTGCTTGCTCCCACTTAAGAAGGACATCTTCCACATGTTCAATAAATGTTCGCTTCCATCTTACATCGTAATCTATGTATCTCTCAATAGCAATTTGAGTACATTGTAGGTGCGTGGGTCTATATCCAGTCATCTTAGTTACTTTCTTAGACCTAATCATGTGACAAGTATAATTATGCTAGATCTTTGGAGTGACAATTTACTTCATCGCATATTTAAAAAAATAAGTTCAACTAGTAAGTCAAGCAAGGTGAGCATATTCGTACATTTAATAGTAGCAAAATGGCTCATAATCATACAAAAATATTTCATTTCTTACCCGGGAACAATTGGAGAGTGGTCGAATGGTGCGCACCACCTCCACACAGAAAAAGAAAGAAATCATAGCCGTANNTTTTTTTTTTTTTTTCATATTATAACAAATTATCTTTAAACTCCTAATACTTGTGAAAGTGCTTTAATTTTATTTATCTAGAAATTTTCTAAAATAGGAATGTTACAAAATAAAAGTTTCTAAAATAAACTTGCAAAATCCAAGTTGCTGGTTTTCTAGGGGGAGAGGATTTTCTAATTAAGTCGGTTTGTTGGAGACGGAAAAAGTGGAAGCTTCCATTGTGTACCGTGATGGAGACGCGTGACTTATTTCCAGTGGGTAGATCATTGCCGAACTCGATTTCACCTTTTGCAGGAGATCACCAACGGCAAAATAAAAGGTGGTTGAAGCAGGAATGAATAGAACGGGATGGCCATTTGTTCAAGGTTTTTGCTTCTCTGCAGAATATTTCAAAGTGAAAATTAGTGACTACTCTCCGTGATAAATCTTCAGCCTCAAAGCAGGATTGCAGGGTGACGATGAAGGAAGATAGCGTCAATTTGGGATCCTAGAATCACCATTGGAGGATGTTCCAAATTTTGCATTGGAATAGAGATTTCATTAGTGGGCCTAACATGGAAATTGGGGTTGAGGAGAGTTTACGAGACCCATTGAATTGAGTTGCAACTGGAAAAGCCCAATGGATGGGAACCCAACTTTATTACGAGAAAATTAAACAAACCTTACACTTTAAATACCAATTTAAAAAAATCAGGTGTTTCTACTTTTCTTTCAATAATCATGTGTAAATATTATTTAAAAAACGTATATATCATATATCTCTCTACTCTCTCTCTAGTATCACTCTCTACTCTCTACAACAGCTCTAGCCATTGTGTTCTCCCGATCGTCATCTCTCTCTACTCTCTCTTTATAGCAATCGGCACTGCTAATCGTCTCCACTGCCGCTTGCTGCTGCCATCACTTCCACCTCGCCCTGGACCAAAGAATTGAGCTCCACTACAGCGGTAGACTGGGATCCTTTAACCAAAAGCGATGGCATCTTTAGCCCTCACCTCCTCCCTCAACCACTGCTTCCAGCTACTCACCATCGCCAAACCCCACCTTCATACTCCAAAATTTGTCACCCTTAAATCTCTCATTAAAATAGCAAGAAAATGTGGTACGATGGGTTGTGGTGTATAGAACTACATGGTGGTGGTGCAGTGGATGGTGGTGCAGTGGTTGTTGTGTGGTGATGGGTTGCGATGTACAAATCTGTGTGATGATGGTGTGGTGAATGTAAAGATTTGCGCGGTGGTGGTGTGGTATACACATCTGCGTCGTGGTGGTGGTGTAGCAGCGAATTTTGGGTACAGATATGCGTTGTGGTGGTAAGGTGGCAACAACATTTGGGAGGTATCGGTGGTGGAGTGATGGTGGGCTGGAGTAAGGTGGAATGAAAAACGATTGTAACCAATTATTTGGGTAATTGCAACCAATAAAATGAATAATTTGAGACCAACAATAATATGATACCTGAAAAATAAAATTTGCAATTAAAATTGTAACTGTGATCTACAATTTGTGTCTTCGTGATCGTGACATTGTGCGATTTATGACTAGTACATGACCGTGTCCATAAATAGTGCATTATTGTGACCTTAAGCCACAAAATTGTTATCAAGTTGTCACAACCTGATTTTTGAAACTTATTCACAAGTTTCTTATTTTTTAAAGTGTCTTGAAAACCTTTGCAGTTATTTTTGAAACCTTTCCCAAGTGAGATTAGGCCTAGTTCGTGTTAAGAATACAAATGCAGGTTTCAATCCGAGCCCTTTACCCATCCTCCCTTCACTTATTAAACCTTCTTCCACTATGCCACACTTCCTAATCTGAAATTTCTAAGCTCCTTCAAGAAAATTACAGATTCCGAATTGCAGTCCAATAACAATGAAGGCGTGTACTTCCAGTTTGGAGAAATATTTTATTGGGCATCATTGTACAAACAAGGAATTACTTGGGCATGCATTCAAAGATGTATCCAATGAAAGGAAGCTCGACAGCGGCGAGGGACAGGTTGCAGATGAGGAACATAATACTAATGGGCATCTGATGGAGCTATTTATAACTTCTGTGGTTAGGCTACCTATTCCAGAGCCAATGAAGACTAGAGGACAGATTAATCAATGGGAGCTATCCATTAATTTTGTGGATGCCCTCGTGGAAGGCTGATGCACCAAAAATTTCATGGTGGAAGGGAAACATCAAGTTGAGGGCCAAACCAGCTTGCTTAATCAGACTTTTGTTCTTTGAGGCCCAGACTGGAAAAAAGGCCCTGCCACCAATTACAGAAATGATGATACACCCCCCTCAAACCACCTGATCCCCCATCTCCCCGATGTTCACCTTGAGGACAAGGTGAATTTCGAGGCGGGGTATTGATAGGCCCCAATATATGCAGCACAGCGCACATGATAGAGAGTTATCTTACAACAGTATATTAGTTTGTATTTGGGGTATTATGGGGATTTAGTAAAATAAATTGCATAGGAGCTTACCTTTTAGAGAGAGGTAGGGTGTTTATTTCACTAGGGTAGAAATTAGGGTCTCGATTGGGAAAGAGTGAGACTCTCAAATGCTCACAATCCCTGTAATTTCCTTTCAGTTTTCTAATTTCTTATCAGTAAGCAGATGCTTGTTAACTTTAGCATGCCTGAAAGTAAGCTACAGTGGCAGATAACAGCACAGGCATGAAAAACTTTTGAAAGCATAACTAGATGATTAAAAATATATTGTTTTCAACAAAATATATAATTTAAGCACATAAACAAAATATATAATTTAAGCACATACCTTGCACTTCTTAAATTTTCTATCTCCACTGCTACCAATGTCGAAGGCAGTTTGCTCGGTTAAGCTGTCCCCTAAAGGTAAACTTTTAATTTCATCATAGAAACTTTCTGTCAGACCAAGTAACCTGTCACGCAAAGAGAGGCCATAAATCAGCTATTGGGTAGCATAAATCGAAAAATATATTGTATTGCAATGTAAATCATTCAAGATATTTCTTCATGGAAAATCAAAATTAACTGGCCTCCATTGAGCTTACCCATTTCTAGACTTCTTCAAATGTTTCATTGTCTTTTTCTCTGATTTTGTCAGTGGAGCACGCGTGAAATGTTCCTCCTCTTGTTGTGCACGTTCTTCCATCTTTGCCATATACTTCGTCAATTCTCTACTTTCAGGTCCTACAGTCTCCGTGATCTGTATTTTTCCATGATAAATCATAAATCAGCAAAGAGAGTATCATTTAAAATCTGTATATCCCACAAATAGCTACATCCACCCACCTCTTCGGGCCTTCCTTCCAGATCATTCATAAATTCTCTTAGATAGGCACTCTGTTTCACTTGTCGCAGACTCTCTTTCTCTCTTCTCAAAGCATTTCTCTCCTGTCTTGTCATCTTATCTTCATCCATAATAGCAGGGGCCAATTTTGGGGGCCGATACACACCATCACCATCCTGTCAAACATGGCATGGGCAGACTTGAAGGATAAAAAACATTGGAGTTTTCTAATCAAGTAACTGACTCGAGCAGATAATATCCGAGCAACATTTAATGTTTAAACTTTTTATTTCCCTCTCATCATAAATTACCTAATCACAACAATCACTTTACTTTTCAGAATTATATCAACACCCTGAAGAAAATCATTTAAGTAAGATCGACTCACCTCAACAGTAGTATTCACTTTGCTAACAAGTAAGTCTGGATTCGGGCGATATTTCAACAAGTCCTCAGACTTCTGAGTTGCATTTGCTTCTTTCTCAGTTGAGCCTGACTTTTCCTCTGTGGTTTCTGTAGCTCTTGTTAGCTTCTGAATTTGGTATTGGTATTTTTTGTCAATAGGGCGAATCTGGATAGAACACGACAAAAGAAGTTTGTTAATTCGGTGAATGTGCAAGAACAATGGGACGAAAAAAATGAACATCCATCAGAAAACAAAAAGAAATTATATTATGCACAACAAAGTCCATCCCTGATTTTTTTTTCCGTATTTTTTTTCCTTCTTGTTTGCCTTGGCAGATGAGGTAATGGTATTTTTTTTCCTCCCTTTTTGGGGGGACTGGTAAAGGGAGGGGAGGGGAGGGGAGGGAGGTTGCATGAGGAGATACCTTCTCTAAGTATAATCTTGTGGCAACAAGACTCTGTACTATGGGATGTCCCTGAATTGATAATCCTTTTGCCTTGCGAAGTAAATAATAGACAAGAGACTGACAATAATTTAGAAGCAGTAAATGTTTGGCCTCGAGATAGCTTATTCCATCTGCAGTACGCAAATTTCCTGCTTTCACCTACCGACAAAACGATTAGAGGAAAACAAATCAAAGAACTTCGCATTACTTTTCTCTGTCCCCTGTTGCTTCTATAATTCAACAAGAACAAACATGGTTTCACCATTTCAGCCTAACAAGCTTATAAAATGATGAAAACAAATTAACACAAAGCAATGCCAGTCATAGATGATAGAACTAGATAATTAAGGAGTAAACATTCAATATTCATTGTATATAGACTTCAAACAATACGTTACACAGTCAATTCATTTCAGAATAAAGCATTTTTTTTTGTAGTAAGTCCACTATTCTTTACAAGACAGTTGCAATCACGAGGAGCTCAACAATAAGCAGAATTTGCTTTATTTTACCACTCTTCTGTCCTGGAAATAAAAGAAAAACCAGAAAAATAAAAAATGTGTCAAAAGCTGACTGCTCTTTCATTAGTCAATTTGAAACTGAGTGGTGACAATTTATGAGTTGCATCTCCAGAATGTTTATTTACTGTTGTAAGTTTCATTCGAACTAATTTCAACGGATATCAAAGCCGCAAGCTTTCAGTAACGTCCAGCAAGATAAACAATGTAAGAAAAAACACGCAGTCTGATCCTATATCTAAAATTAATTGTGACACTAGTTTCAATCGCTATATCAAACAATAACCTAATCTTAAAGATAAAGAAGTTTTATTGGCTAATAACAGGCTAAGGAGAATCAATTGTACCTTAGCAGTCAAAGCCTGAATTTTAGTCCTCACAGTATCCAAACCATCCTTCATTTCTTTTAACACAGCAACCAATTGTGGAGATTCTCTGAACAAAATATATAATTCATGTTAAAAAAAGGTACAAAAATTAAGATATCGTGCAAATACTTAAGAGCTTGTTTGTCTCCTATTATGGGAGAAAGAATGATGTTTTGAATAGTATTTTTTTTTGGAGAAAGTGGGTTAAAATTGAAAGAAATTTTATTGGTTTACGTGTAAAATATTTTATTATTTGAATGTGTGGTGGAGATTGATTACCGTAGAAAATAATGTTTTGAAAAATGATAGACAAATCGGGGAAATTTACATAAAATTACTTGTGTATTCTATCGCTCTGGGGCGGACAAGTATTTGCCTCCATATCCATAGCTTCTTCAACTTTCTGAGCAAATTTATAAACCCTAACTGGGGTTTTGCTTGTAAAATATAACAATGCAGATTAAGCCTCAGAATTGTTCACGTTTTTTATAACAAAAAAGAAAAGAAAAATTGCTTCAGATTTGCTTATAATTAAGCGACGAGACTTGCAAATTGCGGCTGCGCGGGATTGCGGGAATGAAGATGCCTAGGAATTGAACAATTTAGGGTTCTTTTTCTGCCACTTATATAGATACGCCGCAGTCCGCACTGCACTGAACAAAAGTTACATTAACGGTCGTTTGATTGCAAACATGAAAAATGAAGTGTTTTATAGAAAATTAATTTGCTTCTAAATTATTTTATTGGAATTATAATTAATTATGTCTGATTGATATAATTTTTCATGAAAAATGTTGAAAGTTTAATGTCTGTTTAGCTACTTTTTTATGGAAATTGTCCATTAAAGTGATAATGTTTTCTACTATTAGATCTAGAATTTGCTCTAGTTGCCAAAAAAATTGAAAAAAAATAATCATACCGAATATCATTCATTTGACTTTGTTTTGCATGGAAATTGTCAATAAAAGTGAATTTTTTTTTACGATTATGTCTAGAATTTTTTTCAAATGTAAAAAAAAAACCTGGAAAATATTTATCCACCAAAACATCAATAATTTATTTTTCTCAAAAGGTAGAAAATTTCGAAAGTTGGAAAATATTTTCCCGAGAAAAAATTTGCCTATCAAAAACTACAAAAATTGGAAAATGGAAAAAAAAAAAAAAAATTCTATGGAAAATGTGTCCTATCAAATGGAAGGGGGAATTCTTTCGGTTTAGAAATAAACCGATAAACCGACCAGAGACTCCGGTTCTTAATTATTTTATAGCTAAAATAATATTTTTGAGAGGATTACAAGTTCTATTTAGCCCATATTCGATGGTGCTTAAAATTCGGATTTTAATTTTGTTGACATGTGGTTGATTATAACCTTAATGTTTTGATTATAACAAACAAGCCAATAATATTTCTAACAATTGATTTTAAGTGAT